CCTTCAGAAGAATTACTTTATTTCTGCAGGAACATCATGGATCATCTCTTACGTGTACCAATCGAAATGTTCATTCCTTACCTCGCCGTGGGCGTGGTCACGTGCTTGAATGTTTCCAAGATGGTTGACTTCGGTTCCTCTAAGTGGAAGGCTGTCGCTAGCCTCTGCTCGCCCCCCAAATACGGCTCTCTGGGTTGCTGTTGGTGCGGAGACGACTTTGCGAACTGTAATCTCTTTCGACGCAATTACGTGTCCGCACGACGAGCGGCCTCTTCTCCAACGAATACTAATGTAGCCGCTCCGAAAACAAGTCCAGAAAAACTGAAGGGTGATAAGGAAGCTGAAGTCGACCCAGTGTACTACTGCGGCATCCCCTTTGAAAAACGCTCCTCTCTGATGCCCTTCTACTTCCTTCTTCCTCCGCCGAAGATGGAGATTCAGGAGAGTGCCAATGTGGTAATTGCAGTCTGTCTCGGCTTTCTCCTTATTCTCACCAAATTGCCCAAACTCATTCTCCACGTGCTGACAACAGAGCACTACATCAGTTACGATGACACCTACCTGGCGCTGGCCTACGCACTCCTTAATCTCGCCTTCATTGCCTTCAAGCCCATGATCTATCTTGTGTTGGGGGTGCACTTCCGTCATGCCCTCACGGGGTTCTGCTGCTGTGCCTGTCTCTACACACCACGGATGCGTAGCGCTCATAGCTCTCTCGAACAGGAAGCCCACAGCTTCCGACAACCCAGCATACAATACTCAGCTGCCTGTGCCAGTGCTGGCGGTGAGACGGCCGCTGCGGCGATAAGATCCACTATTCAAGAAGAAGTCCAGGAATTACAAGCAACAACTAAGGTTAACTGGGATGAAGAGGAAGGAGTTAAGGTGACGGCCTTGTCTAAGGAGCCGAAAACTCCTCAAACAACACAACCTGAGAACGGCACTGCACAGGCCGCGGTCACGCCGACTCACGACACTAGCGCGGACCATGACAACCGGCGAGGGTCCCTTTTAGAATCAGAGTCCAGTAGGATGGGTAGGCTTAACTCGAACTCCGATCAATTCAGGTCGGGAACCAGATCTGCATCGATATCCAAGCCTGGTTCTGTGGTTCCGCCACCTACAACAAGGCGGAGAGCGGTAGGCGGTAGCGCGAAGAGTGAAAACAGTACCGAGCAGGTGTAATTGCCGTTTTTGCTTCCTCGTCTGTCATTTTTTGTTTCTCTTCATGTAGAACTGTTTTTTGACTGTCTGCATTTACTAGTACTTGACCGAAATTTCCATACGGTGTGCTCCAAACTTCGGTCATTTTTGTCCTTTGACTATCTCCGATATTGTGATCTCTGTCCATTCAACTATCTTGTTCGTTTTCACTCGGTTTTCGCTCGCCTCCACATAATCCAGCCATGCCAAACGCAGTATATTAAGTTTCGTCAGAGTAAAAGTGTCGGACAAGTACAGAGGGTAAGCCTGCGGTGCTCTTATGAATAGAGGTAACGCAACTTAATGCTAGGACGACATAATCCCTAGGAGAGCAAAACTTTCTGCTAGGCTAGCTGTAGGCCGCCTGACGTATCTGAGTGTGCTGGATAGCTGTACCGTCCTCGAAGAAAGTCGTCCGCCAAATAAGCAGGCCCTCGGGTCTGATAAATAGACCGTTGCCGACCATACAGCAATGAGAACCCCAGACATGGCTATGGAGCCATCAGACAAATCAACTTTGTGTAAAAGACTATAAGCCATAGCAGCGTTACGACACAGTGAAGTTTCGCGCCTCAAGAAAAGCTTCTCCCATCGCTTGGCGCAGTGTTGCAGCTGAGACGTGACTGATGGGACAAGAATCTCACGCACCCTACGTTTCGAACCGTCGCTCGAGCCCATCATCAGAAACTGCCACGGATACTGTTGGTGGACGCAGAGGCGGTGCAGTACTTATAGGATACATTTATCATGCCATCACATGTCTACTATAACTGACAAATCCCGCTTCACCGCCGACAGTCGCACTTGGTGCTGTAACCGTTTGCGTGCCCACGCGCAATCCGACATAGTGATGCTGTCACTGTGAGCGGTGTTCACGTGAGCGCTCCCCGCGCGACTAATTACACTTCCTGGGCAAGGCTTCAGCGCTGAATATTAACAAGTTATTTTACTTGTTATTGGATAACTATGACTCGGGCAAATCGTGGCTAACGAGATACTCAGCTGGCAAAAATTTCGGCCTCGTTGGACTTGAAAGTGTGGACAGGCGCTGTCGGATGAACCTTGACACTCTTAGTTTGCGTGTTGGAATCTAAGAGGCGGAGAAAACAGGTAATCAGTCCGCACTCGTGTGTCTCAAACATTCCGATTATTAGAAATTCTTCTCCCTGTAGAATAAAGATGTTTATATACAGCAACTAGAGGAGGTAATGAACTTTCCCCAACTCCGTTCTCTAC